CCATCCAACGCTTTACTAGTTGCAGACATCGTCCAATATATTGAGGAGGGAAAAACAGTGTGTATGTATTATCTGTGTTGTGTCTTGTTTCAAAGCCAAAAATTACAAATCAATGTCACAGTTATCGAACCATTTGCATGGATGTTGGGGATTTGGGGAAGAGAATAAAAATCATGATGTACTCGTCGTTGTTGAAAAATCCAATCATCGAACAATCAACATGCGAAACACTTTTCATGACGTATTGATTGTGGACTCTTATCAGAAGGTTCCCGATACCACACATTCTACTGTTCATTTGAAGCAAATTCGAGTTTTGTGAACTCTTCAGCATGCCGGGCTCGCTCGAACTCGCCCCTCTGATGGAACAAGGTGCCGATCAATCGATTGGCACAAGGAAAGGTGAAGAAAAAAGTTTTAATTCGTGCTCATTAATCTGTTTTTCATCAGGGCTACCGCTCACGTTTTTCGACATTTGCTTCGTTTTTCCCACAATCGCTTCTGATTTGATTGAGGATTCTGAAAAGTCGCAAAATGAACAGTCCAAGGGAACACCAATCACACGATCAACGATGCAAGAAATAGCAAGCAGTATTCTCATTCCGAGAGATCAAAAAGAAAAGGAACGACGAGAAGAAGAGCGCAAGAGATACAACGAAAGCACTCGTCATCCATTCCATCTCTCCAGTGGGGAAGATTGGACTGAAGGGATGACAAAAGAGCAACTTCATGAATCGTTGCACAAGAGCTTTGTTTCATATCTGAAGAAAAGGCGTTGTTTTATCAAGAAGGACGTTCAAGGCGTTCTTACTTTCTATTCAGTGAGCTTTCCTCTTCCCTGAGGCTTTCCATCAAACACTGTCTTGTCCATTGCCATTCAGGTTCGCATGAGAGAAGATTCCATGAAGAGATTCGCTCATGAAAATCGATTTTTAGTCCAAATGGATTCCAATGTTGCCGAGAAATACAGAGATGTCGCGTAAGCTACGGACATCTAGTGTTTGTCTGATATGTTTCGTTTCTAGGGCGGGTCTAAGTCCGCGAAGTCCGCGCGAATTGTCCTTTGTCCCTCCTTATCTTGAATTTGATCTCTTCGCTGAAAGAGGATTCGACTCGCACACGGGATCAACGCCGCAGGTACTTCACGAAACTGTAGCGATGAGAGTCTGCGGCTCCTCTTTGAATGCTGTTCTCACCCCTTAAGGCAATTCCTCTGCCACATTCCCCTTCCCCACATACTCCTCCATCCCTTACTTCTCTTCCGTATACTCCTCGTTCCCTAAACCCTCGCAGTGACAGTAGCGGCAATGTTCGTTCTGTGCGGTTTGCAAGTGCTGCGGCCTTGCCATCCCCTCAGAGACATTCGACACGTCGTTTCTCTCAGCGTTCTAATGTTTTGGTATGAGTCATCTCTCTCGTTCTCTCTCTTCTATGAGACTAACTGGTTGAACTCTGCCTTACATCTCCTTAGCTCCGTCTACTGTCTCTCATATTACTTAGCTCCGTCTACTGTCTCTCATGTCTGATTCCAGATTTGGCAACGCTATGAGGGATCAGGAAAAAAGGTTGAGGTCACGCCAGAAACAAAAGACGATGAGTGCTATTCAATCTTCAGGTACTTGGTTACGAATGAATGCCAGATTGTCTCCATACCAACGGATGACTATTTGTGAGATGGTTTTCCATTTACAGGCAGGTTGACCGGGTTCGTATCCTGACGGATTGCATTGGGACACTGTTTCGATTAGAGCAAATGATCGACCATGGAGTCATGCATTCATTCTTTGTATTGCATCAAAGATCTTCACAAGATAAATTATTGACAGACTGGTAAATAGAGTGAATCTCCATGAATGACCCCAAATTCAATCCCAATTTCAGGGGCCACTGCAAGAACGTCTTCAAATTCCATCAGCAACCTCTCAGTGAAATACGCGAGTACTTTGGTGAGATCAAGTGATTGCAACGCGCTTCAAAACATTCTTCTCACAGGTGAAAACATTGCGTTCTATTTTGCTTGGGTTGGGTATTTTACAAAAAGCCTTCTCATTCCAGGATTCATTGGTCTTGGGGTATTTGCGGTCCAATGGTTTTCTGACCCAAAAGCCCATTTCGATGACCAAACGTAAATCCTATCACGCGATTGTAGCAAACACTTTCAGTTACATCGAGCGTTAAATTGATGTAAACTTTTGTCAGATCGAATATCGTTAGTATCGTATATGCGTTCTACATTACATGTTGGGCGGCTCTCCATATGGTCAGCTGGGATAAAGCAGAGGTAAGCGCGCTGCTCTCTCCTTGCGTCCACTTCATCGAACCATCATCCCATTTTACATGTTTCTCATTTACATGTTTCTCATTTACATGTTTCTCATTTACATGTTTCTCATTTACATGTTTCTCTTTACATGTTTCTCATTTACATGTTTCTCATTTACATGTTTCTCATTTACATGTTTCTCATTTACATGTTTCTCATTTGCATGTTTATCATTCACATGTTTATTATTCACCTGTCTATCACCATGTCTATGAATAAAACATGATATTGTAGAGTATCCTCCGTGTTGAGTGGGGAATGGAATCTCGTCGAAAGTTCAAAACAACCTCGAAGCGCTTCATCGGAGACACAGATGCTCGACGTTTGAATTTCCTCCAATGGGTTAGAAATTGAAACATCTCATCAATTGTCTTCGTCTATCAGTGCAGACGCATTGTATCAGCACTTGCCGGGATGCTTTTTGTTGGGTTTGTTTTAGCTGTCGTCTGTACTGTGTTTTCGATACCGTTATTCAAGAGTTCATATCCTAGTAAGTCAGAAAGTTGACCAAGCGCTGAGTAAAGTTTGTTGGGTTCTCTTGCAGCGTATTTCACTTGGCTGGATCCCAAGGATGTCCCAATGTACACATCCATCATTAATGTCACTTTTATCTCGATTTTCGACCTCGTGAGTGGAATCCTTTATTTGCCGTTCTTACACAATATTCTACAGCTCTGGTGCAAGCTCGCGTATATTTTGACCAATTTTGAGAATTGGAAATACGAAGAAGATTTTCAGCAGGTCGGATTTTCTCCAATACCAACTTGCCTCTCCAAAACTGGGTTGTCTTCAATACTGGCTTGCAATTCGGTTTGAAGAAACTCCAAATCAACAGAATTGTCTTTCAATGCTTAAGTGATGATATTCTTTCAGGCTCTTGTTTTGAAGATGTTCGCGTTCCGTTTTATTAACTACTTCAATTCGTTTTTCTATTTAGCATTTGTTAAGGTGAGAGCCACATTCTTAGCTAGTCCACTCACTCCATGACCTTCCATTTTCCTTCTTGCTTAGGAGATTATCTCGCCCTGTCTTCCTGATGGTTCGTGCGCTGGACTCTTGCGATACAATTTGGGAATGATCTTCCTTACAAACATGTTATTCAACTTCATTGAAGTCGGAACTCCGTCAGTGTCCCAATTCGCTGTGTTCATTGTTCTCACTTCTCATTTTCTCATCAGCTATTTTCATTATCTCTTATCGAAATTCAAAGCGTGGAGACATAAAGGGGAGATACGGGCGTCGGAGATGCTGATCTCGAAAGAAACGAGCGGAATTAATTCAGATATGGATCCCCAGGAATTGACTCGCTCCTATCAATCAGTCCCAATTGAAGAAGCTTCGGAAGAAGTAGAGGACTATTCGTTGGTGTGTCTAGTGTAGCTAACATGACTGAGAGACATGATAAAGGAGTAACAGCCTTGAGTTGTTGGTGTTATTCAAGATATGCCTCGTGTAGCCCTTGAATTGTTTTCCTTTACAGTTCGGTGCTAGTCACCCATTTGTCCACCTTATTTGTTTGTTTCATCTAGTTAGAAATTGAGTGAATCAGCTTTCTCTGATTCTTTATTCTTATCAGCGAAATTATGAGGCAATTTATGGAATTCTGGAAGACTATATGGAAATCATTCTCCAATTTGGCTTCGTTACCTTATTTTCTATTATCCTGCCAATGGTGCCAATTCTGGCGTACATCAGTAATGTGGTAGAAGTAAGTAACAATGCTTCATTGCTAGAGTTTCATTATGCTGCAGATCAGAAGTGATGCCTATAAATTGTTAAAGCTTCATAGAAGAGCGCATCCTGAACCAGGTATGTAGCTCGGATTCAATGACAGGATCATGTGAGATGGGATTCCATTCCCACATGGATTCCCATTCTCCCATGTGGATTCTCTCATGTGGATTCCTCTCATGTCCCATGTCGTTTGATTTTTAGGATACGGGTTGGGACCTTGGAAAAATGCACTGCGTGCTACGTGTTACATCTCCATTACAATCAACATTGCAATCACCATCTTCACAATTGGGGGTGTCAAAATTGACAAAATTGGACCTAACAACCAAACTTTTACTATTTATCGTGAGTGATTTCATGCATGACGCTTGATTCATGTTGGATTTCAGGTTACAGAACATCTCTGTGTGCTTGTTCCCCTATTTCTCCAATTTGTTACACCCGACGACACCAAAGAGGTAACGAGCACCTTAACTTATAAACATCATTAAAATAGATAATTATAACCACCTGAATCGGTACTTTCCTTCAGGTGGAGGAGCTCAGAGAGAAGATGAATCAAGTATTACAGAAAGCTTTATGGAGAGATGAATTGGAACAAACAGAAGCAGCTGAGGCTGCCTATGAAGAAATGCCGTCAGTTGTCCATTCAATCTCCGTCTATACATGATATATGTATATCTATAGATACCCGTATGCTGTATCTACATACATGATGTATACCTATATCTACATCTGTGATATATGTCTATCTTGCAGGTCGACAATTCGCTTGGCTCTCGGAACAGAAGCGCCATTCGCACGTCGCAGTTCCTTCTAGTTCGGATTTTCATTGATTTTTCGTCATTTTCTGTGATTTTTTTAGTGTTTTTTTTGTCCTTTCTTCTCTCTGTGGTATCGGGACACCTCATCCTTGTCATTGTTCTAAGCACCAGAAAAGACTCTAATGTCCACCACCAACGCGAACACGCTTATGAGCGAGCTGTTTCTTCGACAAACGAATGACAGACTTTTTGGTTTCACCGGCTTGCTGTTGGGGCAGTTCGACGTTCTTGACTCTCTCCTTCAAAATGAGGTCGATATGGCAGGGCTGGGACATGTAAGCTGAAAAGGAAGACAGAAGCGTGATTAGACGGAGAGTTTAGACAGCAACGCGTCTCAAGCATGCGACATCCATGCCTATAGAATCTGTTCAAATGAGCCATGGCTTACGATTTATCCGTCCATGTGCTCTGTATGTTCGTCGACGTCCTTGCTGCGCGCGTTGAACACAGATGTGCCAGATATACATCGATTCAGGATCGAGATTCTTCGTCTCTGCGTTGCTCTCAGCGTTCTTCAAGAGATCGAGAAGAAACCGGCACGACTTTTCTGGCCACCGACCCTTCGTAACGCCGAAGGCTTTCGCTTGCGCGGTTCGACCGACTTTTCCAGCAAACTTGCGGAATGGAACGCATCGCTTATGGGCGACAACGTCTTCCAAATATCTCTGAGCTTCATGGAGGTCCATTCCCTTGATGGCTTGGGCGGTCTCATAAGTGTTCTGAAATGAGAAGATGAGAAACATTCAATGGGTGCTCAATTTACCTTGAAGTGGACGCGAAGATCGGCCCCCTTTGACTTGCATGCTGAAAAGAAAAGGAAACCAAAGTAAAGAGAAGAACACTTCAAAAATAACCGCCTCCCCACGTCCTTCAACAGAATTAAAGCCCACTTCCCCCTTACTTTTAGCGCTGTCTGGTTCTCTGCTGTATTTGACCATCGTCGAAGTTGGTGCAAGCCTTCAGGATCGAGCTGTGGTGATTGACAATTTGTCCAAAAAGGATCCCTAGGAGTAGGCACAGACGTTCCAGATCTGCTTCTTTGTACTTCAACCAGTCCCAAATCGGGTCACGTTCCAGGCGAGACAGAACAACAAAATGGATAACTGCTCTTTTCAGGATCAGATGGAGCATTCTAGTGATGGTGGAAGCTGTGATGTAAGGAGTGGCTACGTCACCAACGTGTTCCACTGATGGAAGGACTTCTTATGGCTGTAGGAGTTAGTGGCATCTGGGTCACATGAAGGGCTGACCTACAGTGTTCTCGGAGGGGATTCTCCCATCTCCCCAGATGATACCGAAATCTACTACAATAATGGAAGAATACATAAAGTTGAGAATTTGGAAGCTTGTAGAAATTTGAAGGTAGAAAATAAACAAGGGAAAAGAATCATTACACGGCCTGTTTAATTTCTAGAGCCTTAGTCTGATTGCTCAATTAATTGAGAAAATTGAAGGTTTGGATTCAAACTCCAATTTGGAACATCTTGAATTCTATCAAAATAATATTGAGAAAATTGAAAATATTAATCATCTCATCAATTTAAAGTAAGTAGGTGGGAATCAATCTCTTAATATCTTTGAAGAATAGATCGAAATTATCTGCGAAAAAGAGATTTTACGCTGAGTCCCTCTTTCCCGTGCTTCAAATCTCATAAAATTCCCGATCTATAGAGTTATAGAGTTCTCTCGATATATTAAGTCGATTTATAAGATCGATTCATAGAATCGATCTAGTTCTCAATTTATTGAGTTCCAATTTATAGAGTTCTCGATCTCTCCTTCAATAAGATTCGAAAGATTGAAAATATTGAACGTCTTGCGAATTTGGAAAAACTCTTTTTATCGAGTAACAAAATCACAAAGGTGAGTTTTGATTTATTCATACAAAAATGTGATCGTAATTTAAAGATCGAAGGTCTTGAAAATCTCACAAAGCTTCAATCGTTGGAACTAGGGGCGAATCGTTTGCGAGTGGGTTGTTGTTTATCGAAGATCGTTTATCGAAGATCGTTTATCGAAAATTCTCTTTAGAAAATCGACAATATAGAAAATTTGAAGGAATTGAAGGAACTATGGTTGGGAAAGAACAAGATTACATCAATGGTATTGTCTATCACCAATATCGATACATACCTGGATGTTTACATATGTCCACCAAAAATCTATGTATACATACATAAGTACATAACTCGAAGTCTGTTTTCTAGGCAATCCCAGATCTTCCCAATTTAGTACGACTCAGCATTCAAAGTAATCGTCTAGAAGCTTGGGACAACAGCGTGATCTTCCACGCCCCTACACTAGAAGAGCTTTATTTGAGTCACAATAGACTAACAACGATTCCCCGTGAAATTATGAACTTGGTAAGTTCAGTTTTGTTTGTCATTCATTTATTGATTCCAGAAAAACCTTCGTATTTTGGATCTGGCGGGAAATCGTATTTCTTCTTTACTTTTTCTATCTGAAGCCGTAGCGTTGGAAGAATTGTGGGTACGTCGTAAGCTTGTATCTCGAAAATAGACCCCTTTGCAGTTTAATGACAATTTAATTGAATCGAAAGATGAATTGGAGCATTTAAAGCCTCTCAAAAAACTTGACACGGTACGTCTTGCAACATCAACACGCCTTCCCAAATGATTTGAACAAGTTGGTTTAATCTCTACTACTTGTTTACAGATCTATCTTGAACGAAACCCCCTCCAAACTAATCTCGGCCCTGGATATCGCACTGCAGTCTGCGATGCACTTCCTTGTATGTCTTTGTACTTCATGCATTTTTTCAAATCATTACTATTTAGGGCTCAACCAGCTCGATGCGGTTCTTCTGAAGACAACGGTTAATGTGACCGTGCATCATGTTGAAGGTAATCTGTGAACAATTGCGACGTTTTTCCTGAGTTTTTTCTGTGTTTAGGAGTCAAGTCTGCTTTGAAATAGATCAGTTCGTCCCATTTTGGCACAGTTGACCTGTTCTGTCCAAATGGCGCAGGGTCCAACAAAAATCCGCAAGAACACTGGCAATCCAAGTACCGAACGCCGCAACAAACCGAAGAGGTCCGCTGATGGTTTAAAAAACCCCGCAATTGGCAAATTGAGAAATGTAAGCCTTGAGACGAGTGTCAATAGTTGTATGCTTATTCTCAGGTGAACAAGCTTGTCAAAATTGGAAAAATTGAAAAACAATTAGTATCGACTGCCTCTTCATGTAACGAGCATCTAGTATTCGTGCAAAAAACCAACAAGCAGAATTCACGGAAGTCAAATAGGAAAGCAACAACACCAGAAGAGGATGAAGATGTGTCCAGTAGAAAAGCAGGAACAGTGGAAGATGAAGACGATGAGCAGAAGAGTGATAGTGATGGTTATATGAGTACTTGATCTCTTTTTCTAAATGGTCTGGGGGAACAGTCACAGTGAAGAAATTAAGTTACAAACAGTCCTCGAGACTCGTATGTAGCGATGGATGTTATAAGACGCACAATTGGGACATTGTTCATTCCGTCCGGATTCCAACGCTCCTTGCTTCTTGCGACGTTCGATGATCCCTTCGCAGCAGAAGAGGCAGAAATTGAAGGTAGAGGGATTCACCCTGTTGTCCCTTAGATCTCTCTTTTCAGTGGTGGTACAGGGGCTTCTTGGATTTGACCCCAAGACTTCGGAAGTGGAAGCTGGAGGTTAGAATGAGGGACTGAATCCAGTGACTTGTTTGTTTTCAACATTTTAGAATGGTTTCTTCAACGATTAAAAGAAAACTGGACGTGGAAAGTCGTTCTGAAGGTTCTATTGATAGTCCATCGTCTTATCAAGAGTCCTTGTACTCGCCGCGTTTGGTTGAAAAACTTTTTGCAAAATGTGAGATTCAAAGCGAGATCCTCGGATTTTCTCGATTAGTTGTAAATCTCTTTTGTAAAATTTCATCATCATCTTCCGTTTTTCCTGTAGGTCGATATTTTGAACATTTGTCAATCATTTCGCGAAGGAGAAGGGACAGATGTTCAAGGTGAGTCAAACTGGAAGGGCCATCATCGGAATATATCTTGCTCATCGGAATGGTATATTGCTCTAGTACACTCATAGAGAACAGTAATCACCTTGTGTCTTTCATGGTAGCCGAATCACATACCAAAGTCGTCCGCAAGTACGCACATTATCTTTTCCTCTACTCCTCTGAGTCTTCAAACGTGGAACCGCGATACTCGAAAGTGAGATTTAATTATTGGCATGTTTGGATTTATCGAGTTTTTTAGGAAATCAAAGTTGAAGTGTCAATGTTCAAAGATAAGGATGAAGAAGAGCTTTTCAGGTGATTTTTAGAATGACAGTCGAAGTTATCTTTTTATATCAGTTTGATTCATTTCTATTCCAATCTGTTAAAGTCTTGTTTTGATCCCTTTATGTCCGACACGGAGGTGGGATACCATTCTTTAGAGTAGTGGATTTCTTGAAAATTTTCTTATGCCTCTAGATTATTGTTGTGGATGGTTTTTGTGAAGTCACGACAGAAGTTGCTGTATCTTTGCTCAAAGACGGTCTCCACATTTATAAAGTTTTATCGCTTGCTGGCCTTGAGTTGATCGGTATCTGAGAATAATGACGATGATATTTCGACTTTCATTTTTTTTAGATCGATATCCAAAACTTCATCCAGATGATCTTTCAGTAGGTTGATTCGATTTTATTAATCCACTTTATTATCTTTATTTCCAGATCAGTGAAGACGCATATGAAGCATATAGAAAATCTTCTGGTATGTCCCAAATATTTCGAACAGATCTTCTATTCACTCGCTTCAGATCAGATTCAAGCGTTTCTAAATTACGTCAAGACGCTTCCCGATTTGGGACAGACGAGCTTCCCAGAGTTCCAAACAGTGCGTTTCTTTTTGTTCTCTTCTCCTCCTGCACTTCATTTTTCTTACAGCCTCCAGCAGTCCCAGCATTACAGAATCATCGACGCCGTAATAAAGAGGGTTAGTCGACCCTTATATATCGATTTTCTACTTCTATTGATTATCGACCATTTGTTATCAGATCAATTTGCGATTGATTCATCTTCTTCTGATGAACGCAAGAAATCGCGACATTCTAAGAAAAAGAAATCAAAGCCTCCAAAACAGAAAAACGCTCGAAGATCTGTTTTAATGGAATCTTCTGATTTGCTTCAACTCGAGCCTGAGACTTCCGGCAGTCCCAAAAGTCATTCTGAGAAGAAGAACTCTAGACGGGGTCAACGGTCGTCGTCTTTATCAGCCTCCCTTCAATCTGACGATGACTCTTCTTCGAGTTCAACTGATTCTTCAGAACGAAAATCGAAACAAGAAAAGACGGGACGATCACAAAAGCGACACAATAGAGATGCATCATCATCATCATCGTCAGCAGAAGTCGTCCCAACGAATGTCTCATTACTTGATGGTCTTGACGATCAACCATTCTTGAATAGCAAAGCCACAGACGTTGAAGTGAAACCACCTCCACCACCAAAACAACCAAGAAAACAAACCGATGCGCCTCATGAACAGCCACTAGATGCTCCACTTACAATCTCTTCAATCCCTCTCCCAGTCTATCCTCATCCTACTCACTTGGGACACATCGAGCAGCAAACACAATCGAGTGAGAGAACGGGTTCAGTCCCAGAAGTTCACCCGCCCGAAAATCAACCTTCTGTCCCACAAACTCCTTCGTTAGAAAGAGTGAAGCCTCCATGTTTCCAATCTCAAGAAGGACTGTGGGATGATTGGCTCAATGAAGCCGATGCGACTCCTTCTCCATCATCCCACAATAAGGATTTACTGCTTTGATATTTTATGGTGATTGAATTGATTTTTGGTGTATCCATAACAAAGAATTTCGCAGCTATTTTTCACTTCAAAAACTGCTCCAAAAATTTCGATCCCTAATACAAGTTTATGAAAGAAGCTGCGAATCTATTTTCTCCCGCTTGAACTCGATCGATAAACATCGGATCGTTGTTGATTTCAGTCAACTGGCCCCCATTTAAAAACAATGCTTTGACAATAAGATCCATATCCACTGTGACAGTATCCGGGTTCAAGAGGGAGAAGCAATCACCTTTACGCCGTCTAATATGCGCAGACCCTTCGATGTTAGCAATAGCAGAATTACAACCAACTCCCAACGAAGTCGTCACACGAATTTCTATCCCATTTTCCACGTCAAAGCGGAGCACCCATTGCAAGAACGAACGTTCGTCTTCGGCTTGTTGGATTCCTGCCTCAATCTTATCGAAGAAGTATTCAGAAACCTTTCTCACAAGCTTTGGTGCAATTGCTGGATCTGGAAACTTCCCATGCAACGGTTTCCATAGATGTTCTGAGAGTGCGGCTATAACGGCTCGCCGTGACCTGGAAAATCGAAGATAGAATGAGAGAGCTGCAGATGCCTCACGATAGAACTACTAAGAAAAAGCTCATGGCTAAGTGGAAGCTCATAGCTGGGAATCTTGCTTACCTGATTGCATTCTTGTGCAAATTGATTTCCTCTTTAATTGGAATCACAATTTCGTTTTGAATGAGTCTCCCAACATCAATAAGTCCTTTGCATAATGCAGAATACACATTTGGATACTGCGACTGGAACTCTCTACTGCAGGTGAGAAGTGATCGACTAGCAATAGGAGAGAGGGTCAGGTTCTGGTTCGCGAGTCCAGGCTGGACGATGGGGGGGACAGGCATGAGTGGATACGCAAGCTGCTGGGGATACTGAGGGAGAGGCGGTGGGAAGATCATTCCTCCGCGTTGGCCATACTGCATTCCATTTGCCTGAACCATCTGCATCAGGGGGCCATTCCGATGATGCCGGTTCTTGTCGTACCGCGCACTTTGGGACCGACCGCTCCGCGCTCTTCGCCGCGGATTTGACGGAACAGCCCTTCGCGCCTCGTCGTCCGTTCTTGACGACACAGGAGGTTTTCGCCGCCCCACTCCGGCGTACCGGCTTTGATCGATGGAAGCCCGACTTGAAGTAATTTCACTTGTTTCATCATTTGTTATACCAAAACTCGCTGTATCCGGGATTGCTTTGCGATGGTATCCTAGAAGTTGGGGCGACGATGAACGGACAAGAGCCTGCTTGGAAATTGGTCGCCCGGAATCGATAGGTTCGTACACTAGTTCGCTACGGACATCTGTCCGTGCTGTCGTTCCCGAATAAACAGAGGTTGCAGTGCCGCCTTTGATGGATTTGTTGGGGAGGCTGATCTCACGACGAAATGCTGCTGCGAGGTCAACTTTTTTTCCGGTGGAGAAGTTCGTTGAAAAGTCCGCATTCGAATGATCCTCCTGCATGCTTCTCATCCTCCGGTGCTGAGCAAGCAAATACGAATCGTAGAATCTCTGATGGCCATTTTCACTTGGTGGCACCCCAAAGTCAGGAAGGCTAACTAAACTGACATGGCGCTGCATTCGTCGCCCTCTCTAGAGTTAAGGAAGGAAATTCGATCAGGACCACGACGGATGATGATATGCATGCAGAGATGTGTTTGCACAAGAAGAAAGAAAAAAAAAAACATTACAAAAGTAATCCAAAATTGGTGCAAAAATGTCTGTGTATCTCTATTCATGCTTCGCTTCGGACTTCAAGCGTCTATAAGTCATGCGCACTAGTAAAACGCCCCAATAAAGGGAAACGCAAAATAGTGACACGCCAGAAATCTGGACGAGGATTGGAGATGACAGCAGCGTGAAATATGTTATTATTGGACCAAGCGTAAGAACTCGAGCAGTTAGAAAAACCGCAACGAATGCAAAGGATACTCTGCTCGTCCATATTTCTGCTCCTGGAGTTGCTCTCAAGAAGAATCGCAGGTGAAGCAGGGGAGTAGAGAGTTCTGCCGCCAAAATACTGAAAAAGA